GTATAATGGGCAGCAAAACCCTATTCTAATTATTCAGACCCCTTCAACAGTTTCATGGCCCAAAGAAACAAAAAGGGCTGCAAAGGGATCTCAGAGCTTGGGGAGTAGGACGCAAGACGGCCAGGGTGAAACGAATCATCTACTTATGGCCATCTGCCTTGATCCTTACTCCACCCTAAACCACAAACCCCAAACCCTAAACAAAAAACCCTAAACCCTAAACCCTAAACCATAAAGCCCTAAAGCCTAAACCCTAAAGGCCAGAGGTTTCCCCCGTACATAAGCTTATGAGCCACTGAGCCGAAAGCTCTGTCCTTCGGACTTGTCAGCGGATAATATGAAGCTGGGCATCTAGGGTTGAGGAACAAGGAGTTGAGGTTCAGGGAATTCCCCTCCGGGCCAATGTGCCCAAATAGAATATAATAGAATATAGTTTGGACCTAAAGCAGTTTATCGGGACTCATAATGTTTGGGTACATGGACTTGATGCATCCAGCTATCTTTGGCCGCAAACTCTATGCCCTAAACCCTAACAAAATCCGGAGCCCTTTACAATCGCCCTGGACCGGGACGAGAAGCGGGGCGAGGCCGTACTTGTTCTCACGGTTGGGGTCTGCCCCGGCAGCAAGCAGCACCTTGGGATGCCAAGTCTTAGGCTTAGGGCTTCAAAGCTTACGACCAAAAGGTTTATAGATTTGTCTTTCCGGTCCCTGGACTTTCATCGCGTGCTGCTGGCATGTGTCCTGCTTGGCTAGAGCATCCCTCAGCGTGGCCCCAAGCCGCATCACACAACCGAGTGACTTTCATTTTTTCCAGAGGCATGCAGCGGCTTCACTAAACCCTAAACCGTAAACCCTAAACGCTAAACCGCACGAGCTTGAGTTTGCTCAACCGCAACCGCCATCAACATCGAAACTTGGCAGCTTGGCTGGCCTGGCAGTTTCCCACTAAACCTTAAAACTCTCTCGTGCAAACTCTCAGACCTCTCAACCCTAAGCTAAGACCCTACCTATATAGGCTCCATTGTAACTAGTTTTTGTGATGTATATTTAAGATCCTATAAGGTAAGGCCAAAAAGAAACTACTACTGTTGAAACTGTCCGGCACAAAGGTCCTAAAGAACCTACCTAAGGACGTAGAACTATGAGGAAATCATGATAAGGAACCCGACAAGGGTAGGTTATTTAGTGTTATCGTAGGGCTTAGGGTTCTTGAACCCTGACGGTCCAAATACCTATAATCTCATTCATGTCCAAGTACTCCTAACCTACATAACGAGAAATGCGAGTACTAGACTACTGGGTCTTTTGGTCCCTTAGGGTAAGGGTTTCGGGATTTAAGGTTTGCTTCCGGCCGATACTGCAAGGATTTGGTCACTACGGGTTTTGGCTGGCACCATTAAGTGCCCCTGGCCTTGACCCATGTGAGGGTGAATGTGAAGGATAGTGCACGGGGGTCGGGTGATTTCGACGACCAGGTGGGGACAGGCCGGTCTATGGCTGGGACAGCGGGCCCCACGACGACCCACGATTGTCTTGCTGAACATACCCCTGCCTTGGGGCAAATAATATCTCTTCGGAGATGGGACGCGGGTCGTGGTGAGGCCTTTCTCTCGGGCGGGAACGTGAACTCCAACTGGAGCCCCGATGACGCTTGCGGAGGGGCTGCGAAGGCAGGAGGGATGACGCACTACAGAAGGCCGTCACACCCCAGCCGCTATCCATGCATCCATCCATGCATCCATCCATCCATCCATCCACCCTATTGACGAACGACAGACGGACAGGCAGACAGGGACACACACACACACACAGAGACAAACACAAAGCAAACAAAAACAAAGCAAAAAACTGACAAACACCGTAGCAAGCCGTTCAAAGCGGAGGCAACCCTGGGGTCCCAAGGCTCTCCTCATCTTCCAACGACAGGTGATGTAGGAACCTGATTACGAAGCCCTGGGTCTTGATTAAGGTTCTTTCTATGAAGCCTAGACCCCTACTGCTGCTGCTACTACTACTACTACTACTACTACTACTACTACTACCGCTACCTATAAGCCCTAAACTTCTGAAGCCTGCGCCAGGGTGCGTGAGTTGCGCGGCCTAGATCCAGACAGGCAGAGTTGAGCAAAGGCGTGGAGGCGTCGAAGTCAGGCACGTTTACCTGGCTCTTTCTGGGCCGAACCCCCAGGGTCCATGTACCCCAAACAAAAGGGGTTCCTTTAAAGGGTTCCTTTAAAGGTTCCTTTAAGGGTTCTATAAGGGGTACTATAAGGGTTTAGGGATATTTGGGGTATATAAGGCTCAGGGTCCCCAAATAGCAGAAACTTTGGGCCCAAAGGACCTGACTACTCTAAGGCCAAAGTCTATACTATTGGGGCACATGGACCCTTAGGGGGAAGTGTCGGGCGAAGTCCTAAGCCTGCTAAAAACCCCACTGTCTTTCTAGGCCCCTTGTGCTCCTTAGGGTTTAGGGTCTACATTGTGCTCCTTATGTGTGATCCTAAACCCTAAACCGTAAACCCCTAAACCCCTAAACCCTAAACCCCAAACATGTGATCCACGCTAAGACTCAAGCTTTCTGGCCACCGGGTGCTAATTACCCCAAAACTCTGAGCCCCAGGCCCCTAAGAAACAGTTCTCAATTCGAAGAGGATGTCCGGGCGTAGATGTAGGGTGGTTTTAAAGATTTAGGGTTTAGGGCTTAGGGTTTAGATCTTGACCTTGACCGCAAACCCTAAACCGCCCGACTCCTCCTAGAAGCAGGTAAACACGGAACTAGCTTTGAGCAGACCCCTATCTTTCATGTGCAGCATGCCGAAGGACTGATCACCTAACACGATGCTGCTGAAAGTCCATGTCAAGCTATGCCCACCCCACAAGCACTAACAACAGCCTTAAACTCTATGGACCCCAATCCCAATCACCGTAGACCTTAAACCCTCACTGTCACTCCAGCGAGGGGCGTCTGCCCCTCCTTGGATGAGAATCTCCACCACCTCCGGCCGACGCAGCGTGGCGCCGCGATTCAGCGCCGTCGACCTTTGCGCTAAGGCAACCAGAGACTGCCACACCTCAGCTAAATGAGATAGTGACCTTGCATCATAATCATATCAAGTCCCTCTAGAATTTCGGATCTCTGCCTGGCACCTTAGGGAATTTGCAAGGGTTCGGAGTATCTTGAATCACCGTTCCAGGTTTGAGGGGCTCTAGCCACCAATCTGAACACGATTAGCAACCCGAATAGCATCCTTGCTCTCAGCTTTCATCTTAGTCTTTATGTCGGCTGTTCGCTATCGGCAGTTAAAGCCCAAAGGGTCCTAAGTACCTGTGTAGTTTAATGTAGGGCTTTCTATTTATAGTAGAAATTACTATTGTGGTTTGGGAAAGTATCCCCCCGTGACGATACCTAGGACCCTTTCGGAGGCATTTCAGGGGCTTGCAGCTTTGGTCCGTGGAGACTCGAAACTTCAACTTACACATCGCACACCCGATCCGATGTCTGGCCTAAACCCTAAACCCTAAACCCTAACTGCTTGGCCAGGGTTTAGGCTTACAGGGTCGAGGTTTTTAGGGTTGGGGGGTTCAGGGTTTAGTTTCAAGGTTCTAGGTTGGCCCCTCAATACCTCTGAAAAATATTCATAAAAACGATCCTCTTAAGCCCGATAAGGGACAATATAAAATGCCGCATAGGCCTACCTAGGGTTGTAGGGTCAAGGGTCTCCTAGACCCCTCAACTACCCTCTAATAAACCCTAAAGACCCACCATTAAGTTGCTCGATTACAAGACCCTTGGGGGCAATTGGATAGGGTTTGAGGTTTAGCCGTTTAAAGTTCACGGAGCTCGGCTGAAACGGCCTGGCCGAAAGAGACACAAACCCGCAAACCCTGAGCCCTACATACAGTAATCACAGTATAATTGGTAACATAACTGTAGTGAACGGGTAGCAAAAACAACCGCAATGGTATGTAATAGTAGAATGAGGCTTACGAGGCTGAGTGTTTTGATGTAGCTTCCCATTCCCTAAGCCCTAAAACCCTAAACCCTCAGCCCTAAAACCTAAAACCTAAACCCTTTGAGGCGCCGGCCCATCAATGCTGGAAGCGTGGTTCGTTTCAGCTCCAGCACTCACCTGCTGCTTCGGTGATTTCAAGCCCGAGGCTCCTCCGTTTAGGGGTTTAGGGATTAATTGGGGGTTTAGGGTTTAGGGAATGGGGGTGAGCTCTTCTGAACCCTCAGACAGCGTTTGGGGACTTAGGGTACTGTCGCCTTCGTTTGGCCCGATGTTTCTTGGCTGCGGAACGTCTCCTAGCACTTCCGGTATCCTTGGGTTTGAAGGGTTGAGAGTTCAGAAACACGAAGCCCTGCGGTTCAAGGTATGGAGGCTTGGATTTGGGCTTGCGATTTCAGGACGAAGCAGAAGCAAGGACTATGTTTTCGCACGGTCGAGTTGGGACTTGACCTATTCAGAGAGATGAAGACCTCAATGCCAAGCCGTGCACAGCGACGACTTAAGATCGAGCCTGCAACCTAGGGTTTAGGGTTTAGGGTGTAGGGTTTAGGGACAACGACTCCCAACCCCTACCTCAGGCGACAGGAAGAACTCCCAACCCTATAAACCCTGATCCCTAACGTCGCATTGCCGTAGTGCTCTGTCAGGCGTCGAAGAAGAGGTGCAGTCATGAAGGTGAAATCCGAAACCCTGAACTCACGAACCCGAAACCCTTAATCCTTTACCCTAAATCCCAACCACAAAAGCTTATTATTCTAAACTCATTGTAGTAAACCCCAAAAAGTTGGAAGCCGGATTACGCATAAACAGTGCTGGGACATTATCTCGTAACGATTGAGGCTATTGCGTGCTCAATTTTTCGGGTTTAGGGTTTAGGGTTTAGGGTTTAGGGTTTAGGCCTTCTACTATAACGCTAAGGGCATCAAAGACCTGACTACCACAATCCCACCGAGTTCCCGGCCAACAGTCGTACGATCTCAGCCATCCCTGCCTGAACAAAGGACGAAAAGCTCCCGCTTCGAGATTATGACTACCTTTCTCAAAAGCTTCAGGGTCTATCTAAAGAAAACACGACCGACTAGTCCACTTCCATGATCAAGGTTCTGCGGCTGCGGCGGTAGCAGAAAACTGAGAACACAGCGGATGAGAGGGCTGCGGTATACCCATAGTCTCCATTGTAGTTACTTTTAACTTATAGTGCCCTTAATATATAGCCGGTGAAACCAAAAAAGGAACAACAATGGAGACTAATTTCGTGGCGCTGTGACTAGCTCATCACACTGCTCGTAATGTCATTAGGGCTTAGGGATTAGGTTTACACAGGGTTTACTAGGGTTTAGGGTTCAGGGCGGTTTAACCATGGTTGTTGTTACTATACTGATGATTACGATCATGGTATTGCCTATCCCGAATTAGCTGGTAAGTGATCAGAAGGGGAACCCACCGGGTGGCCAAGTGCCTCGCTTGGAGACAGTTCTCATGATCGTAGGGTTTAGGGTTTAGGGTTTAGGGTTTAGGGTTTCTCATGATTGCACAAAACCTAGCTTGGTTTCCCATGCGTGTTGGCATGGAGGCCTCTTTTGCTTGAAACAGTTGTGTCGTGGGGAGGGGGTCGGAAGGTTACACTATAACTATAAACCCTTTTCCCTAAACCCTAAACCCTAAACCCTAAACCCTAAACTCTAAACCCTAAACCCTTATATGATAAAAATAAAATACTTGCGATTTCTGATTTTTTCTTGGCACTCCAAGTTCCCGAAGGCTGAGGCGCTAAACCCCCACGGCAGAATCACGTCCCGATGTCCTGATGTTATCCCAAGCCATTGGATTTAGGGTTTTGTTTAAGGGAAACTACAGGCGGGGAGTTTAGGGTTTTAGGCTTTAGGGTCTTAGGGTTNNAAACCCTAAACCCCTAGGACCCTTTGAATAGGGCTTCGAGTTTAGGGCTCCCGGGCGCGAAGAGACTAGAGACCTCCCCCTGTCAGTGAGGCTTTCTACTGGGGAACCACGGTCTTGAGTTGTAGTGTGGCATGTGGTGTATATATATATATATATA